TAGTATAAGTTGTGCATAGGAAAACATAGACATAAATGCCTGCATGATTTTCCATGCACAAGACATACAATATACAGTTGTTATCAGAGGAAATACACGCTAAGTATATTTATTTATTTATTACATTATTATCTGCCGATCAACAGGTTCCCAGCAAGATAACTTGTACAAAGCTAACTACAGGTAGTCCTTCACTTACAATCAGTTACTTAGCGACTGTTCAAAGTTACAGCAGACCTCCTCCCAAGATATTTATGTACCAGATTCAAAGTTCTGATGGCCAGTTCTGATTACATTTTGGGCACTTAGCAACTGTCCTGCATTTACAGAAAAACAATGTTTTTTGCCACAAAAACCTTTACTTGACCTTTACTTGCAACCAACATAACATATAACCATAATTCCAGGCTCAACTTCAGTTGTAAACTGAGGATTACCTCTATTGCCTACAGTACAATTCCCTCACCAAGTAAGCTCATTAGAAAATAGTTGTACCACATGCAGCATATCTACCCGCTGTCAATTGTCAATTGATCACCATATAACAAACAGCATAGAGTAGGAACTTTCTATGTAAGGTAGCATATAGTGGTGATTTGGACTTCTGATTTGATGATTCAGTAACTCTGGTTAAAATTTATAGTTCTGTTTCCTTCAAAGAAAAGTAAGCTTTCCATAGGAATCCTGGAGATGCTGCAGTATATTCCTTTCAGTATCTGCTTCCATTAATAACTTGACAGTTATTGTTTGTTTATAAGAACTCAAGTAACTCAGTTAATTCCAACAGACTTTTCAAAGGATCTGTTCCTTTCCAATTTGCCAACAGATTTATTCCAAAACAGAACATGTGGATATTTGGAATAGGGATAATTCAAGGTGCAGTCCACTTTTGTTCAACTGATCAGGTGAAGACAGCACACATTTGAGTATACTAGGGATTTATTGGACCGGATGAAATAAATAACGTAGCAGATACAAGTCTACTCTATTAAGTGAGTGCCCACTTGTGAGCCCTTCAATAGGCTAAACTGTGTGAACTACAAAATCCAGATAATCACTAAAATTGTGCCATCGGATTAAGAATATACAGTATCTCTTTACCGCAAGTCATTTGGGCTGTTTCAACAGGGTTGCCATCTGGCCGTTTTTCCGGCCAAATTTGAGAAATCTGGCCGTATAGAAATCTGTTTGGCCATGAAAAAAAGCATGTCTCTGGCCAAATATATTTGGCCGGAAATTTGGCCGTATGAAAGTTGCTTGGCCGTGAAATCAAAATTTTGGCCGAATACCGGTTTTCAATACAATATATTCGCATGAAAATGACTGTCAGATCGTCTGAAAACCTTTGAAAAATGACGCGATACACAGGCCGAAGCCTTCTGACTGTGAACAGCGCTGCGTAATATAAGCGGATGTTAACCTGGATGTAAACATCTCAGTATTGGATTGTTTTCTCGCCAGCTGGCGCGCGGCATCACGGAAAATCCCGGATGTGCGACCAAGAGAATACGCCTGTGGTACATGTAAGCTAGCTAAACGCATTGTGCGTGTACTTTGCATGCATGGTAAGGCAGCTATGTGTAATGTGTATGTGCACAGCGCATGTATATTAGCAAGCGGAAGCCTTACGTTAGCGTTAGCCTAGTCTCTAAATCATATTTTACCCCGAACAAGTGAACAACTCTACATCTACGGAAGATGGCAGCGACAGGAAAATGGAAAGGGAAATATGACAGTGGTAGAAAATATAATAAATCGTGGGAACAAAAGTTCTTCTCGCTCACAAAATCTAGCGATGGAAGTTTAACACGGATTGTGCAAGCTTTGCAAGACACAAATCGCACCAAAGCTTTCTCGCCTTTCAGACCACGAAAAAACGAAGGGGCATACAGAAAGAGTGCTAGTTCTCATTGTGCAGCATTACCCTTTTTTCAGAAACTGAAAATAGACAAGGATATTGAGATAACCAAACGCATAGAAATTGAGCTTGCTGTGACTATAGCGTGTCACTGCGCAACGTCCACTGTTGATCACCTGGCAGAATTTATGAAGAAGAATGGGAAAGGTAGCAAACTCGCAAACCTTCAAGTTCATCGCACTAAGTGCAGTAAACTTATCTCTAAAGTAATTTCCCCTGCTTTGAAGGAGACTCAACAGCATGATGTCGAGAACAAAAAATTTGCAATCCTCATCGACGAATCAACGGACATCGCTATTGACAAGCATCTGTGTATTGTCATCAGGTATTTCAACCAGTCAAAGTTACATATTGTGACTGAATTTGTTGCTCTAAAGCCCGTTGTTGGGGCTACAAGTAGATAACTCTTTGAAATACTCAGGAACACACTAGATTAACTCGATCTGAAGCTGGTTGACTGCATCGGGTTCGGCAGCAATGGTGCATCTGCGATGATTGGGGAGCACAACTCCGTGTGGTCTCGAATTCGTGAGCAATCGCCTCATTGTCAGCTGAACCGACGCATATGTCATTCGCTTGCACTTTGTATCAAGGTGTTTGATAAGCTTCCATCAAACCTGGGGTATCTCCTAGCAGAAATTCCCAAGTGGTTCAGCAAGAGTATCCTCCGGAGAGAAGCATTCTCAGATCTGTTCAAAGTGATGGATGCTACAGATGAGCGAAAGGGAACACCTCTTCCTTTCCAGAAGCTGTCTGCAACGCGATGGTTGTTGAGGGGCAAAGTCATCTACAACATTCTTATCAACTGGGAAAAGCTGAAGGCTTACTTTTCGGCAGTCGTCCCCACTGCCGATGCCTCCTGCCGGTACAAGGCCAGGGAGATCCTGGGGATGTTGTCAGATCCCGTGAACGCCTTGTACTTTCACTTTGTGTCCCCCATCGTCGCCGAATTTGAGCGGGTCAACACTTTTTTTCATGCAACTGATGCTGACCCAGAGGAGATGATGCAAGAATTGCTCATGCACTACAAAAGTTTGAAAGGTCGTATCATCGACAGCGAAGGGAAACCACTTGACCTGGACAGAGTTGATTATGGGGCCAAATTTACGAGTGAGCTTCGTTCCTTTGTGAATAGCCAAAATCGTTCCCCTGACGCACTCAACAAGGCAACGGAGATGAAGACACACTGTGCAAGCCTCCTGAGTGAAGCCCTCAGTCAGCTCGAGAAGCGCCTTCCGGCATCGATGGAAGTCTTCAAAGGTCTAAGAAGCTTGTCACTGAGTAAAGTGTTGAGCCAGACCGCCAGGGTTCCATTTCAAGATCTGCCAGTGCCTCATCTCCGAAGTGCAAATGAAGCTGTGATTGAGGAGCAGTATCGGAGAATTCTGCATGTGCATTAGGCAGAGAAGTCAGTGTTTGATGGAAGAATTCCAAGTGACACAACCTTCTGGGCAGGGGTGTTGCAGTACAAGTCCAAAGCGGGTGAGCAGCCGTTTGAACAGTTGGCAATGTATGTGCTGTCCTGCCTTGCAACACCGACGAGTAACGCCATTGTAGAACGCATTTTTTCTGCAGTAACACATGTGAAGACGAAGGCTAGAAATCGCTTACAGACGGAAATGTTGGACGCCATCATCAGAATTCGTACACATCTACAATTTCAGGGAAAGTGCTGTACGGATTTCAGTGCAACAGAACGCATGCTTCAGCTGTTCACATCAGAGAATGGAAACCAAGCCGGTCAACCAGATCATCCTGAGGATATTGACGAGGATATCATGAACGTTCTATATTAGAGCTTCATTCATGACTTTGCTCCTATTTCAATCATACTTGACAGACTTGATCTTATAGTTTGTTTGTTTTTTTACCTTTTTCTTTCTTCACATTGCTACATTAGAAGTACTATTTGTTTTCATGTAATTATTGGGATAATTCCTCTCTTTTTGAAAAGATGGTTATTGAGCATTCAGTTTTCATAAGGATTCTATATATAATTGCTATTTTTGTGTTGTTTTATTTGTTTAGTGATTATACTTTTTCAATCGGGGGGGGGGGGAATCTCCCTAAAAACCCTCATGCCCTAGCTCCCCGCTCCTCAGGATCGCTGCATTTGGCCCTGAGCTTTCCAAACGGTAGTAGCGGTTATTTGAAGTGAGCTGTCTAGCCTGGATGTGAGTAAAGAAACGCAGAAATTCCCATGACATCACGTCACGTTGTCGAATAAAGACTATTTTTTATGATTTGATTATTTAAAAAGTTAAAAAAACAAAAAACAATATATCCTCATGTTATATTGCATAAAAAAATTTGGCCGGAAAATTTGGCCGTGAGAGAAAATAATTTGGCCGAATTTGGCCGTATTTTGACTTGAGTTTGGCCGCAGAGCCAAGCTGCGATCTGGCAACCCTGTTTCAATACAGATCAACTTTAAACACAAATCCCACTGACTCCTTGAATTCTTCAGGATTCTCAAACTTTGCTGAATCCCTACCACATTTAAACATAGAAAAGCCTGCCTCTAACAAAGGCAATACTCCTGATTAAGTATGGTGTGGAGTCCTCTAATAGGATGCTTGGATTAGCCAGGTGCAAAAGCAGGCCTCAATCCTTTTATGTTTGGGATCGTTTGCTTAACTACTGCTTTTAGTCAAGTGGGGTGCACTTGTCCAACTTGAAACGCCGGCCTTGATATTTCCCCAAAGATTTTTGTTTTCCGTTTGGCTTGTATTCTTTCGTTACTTTCAAAATGTAATCAACCTGAGCAGGAAGATGATTGATGATCCTACCGCCTCCCCATACTCCTTAGGCAAAGGAGCAGTTTTGGTAAGATCAGGAATAGTAGGACCGGAGTTCATGTTCCCATTCGAAATAAGTCCTTTCCGTCACCTCACATAAATAATATGTTCTCGGGTTGGACTTTCCCTAGGCCATTTCCTTGCTTTCTGCCAGAGAAAGGGCAAACGAAAACAATCCTTTCTATAAAGTCATTAAAAAAAAAAAACCTACACATACACACACAAACCACGAAGGGAGCACTGGGAGGGGGATCCCTTGCGCTGTCTCCGCAGCAGAGCAGCCCGCCCGAAAGCTTACAACGGCTGGCCGTAACCAATGGCGGGATGAGGCGCCGAGCCAGGCCTGTGGTGTTTGCTTTTTGTTTTTTTTCCTTTTTTACCCCCGCCTTTGCCAGTGAACTCATGAGTGAAATATGACATTCCACCCGTAAAGAAAAGAGGGCGAGGAGGAAAGAGCGAGGGAGGGACGGAGGGGGAAAATTTAAACCTGCAGGCGACGAACTCCGGGCTTGAACCCTTCCTGGTTTCAGAATCTGGGGATCAGAAAGGGCGGGGCTGCGCCGAGCTTTTCTTAAGTTTTCGGCTCTTGCAAAGAAGCCTTTGAGGAGCTCGGCGCTGGGGCAGATTGCATTCCTGCCCTCGAGAAGACACCCGAAGGAGGGAGCTGATCTCAGCGGCCCAGTGTCTCTAGCCTCGCCGCGATGGAGGAGGACGGTGTGCAAGCGGAGAAGAGCAGCGCGTATGTTTCCCCAAACTCCGATGGGCCTCTGGATGCCAGCAATCCCAGCCCGGTGCCCTCGGGCAGCCGCAGCCCCAGCTTGCTGCCGCCGGCGCCGGGCGAGGCGATTCGGGACAGCTCGCAAGTGAACGCCATCACGGTGCTGACTCTCCTGGACAAGCTGGTGAACATGCTGGATTCGGTGCAGGAGAAGCAGCAGAAGATGGAGCAGCGGCAGATCGATCTGGAGGGCTCGGTTAAGGGCATCCAGAGCGACCTGAGCAAGCTGTGCAAGAACCACACGTCCACCAGCAACACGGTGGCCAAGCTGTTGGAGAAGTCGCGCAAGGTCAGCGCCAACACGCGCGAGGTGCGCGATCGCATGGACCGCCAGTGCGCCCAGGTGAAGCGCTTGGAGCACAACCACGCGCAGCTCTTGCGCCGCAACCACTTCAAGGTGCTCATCTTTCAGGTCAGTATGCGCAAGAAGCGAGGGGGAGGTTGAAGGTTTGGGGAGTGGTGGGTTTTGGGACGGGCCCGAAGAAATTCTCCTTCCCGTTGAGCTTTTGCGAAAGTGGAGTTGTTGGGAATTAAACGTGGCGCAAAGTGGGGGCAGTCGGATACCCTCTTCTTCCTTGAAGGAAAAGTGGACTATACACTTAAGTACATGTAGTCCTCGACTTACCAGCGTAATTGAGCCCAAAATTTACAGTGAAACATTGGTTAAGTGAATTTTGCCCCATTTTATGATCTTTCTTACCACAGTTAAGTGAATGACTACAGTTTTTAAGTTAGTAACATGGTTGTTAAATGAATCTGGCTTTCCCGTTGACTTTGCTTTGCAAAAGGTGATTTATATGACTGTGGGACACTACAACCGTCATAAATTGAGTCGCCAAGTGTCTGAATTCTTATCAGGTGATTGTGGGGTTGCTGCAGTGTGAAAAGTGGTCATAAGCCACTTTTTCAGTGATATTTGTAACTTTGAAGGTCACTAAACAAATGTGAAGTCGAGAATTACCTGAGTTGCAATCCCCATAGTTCTCACACTTTCCCCTCTTCACATATTAATAATTTTCATTTTTAGTATGTTTTGAGTATTATTTTCCTCTTGCCCACAACTTTACACACAGAGCATGTGCAAAATATCTAATAAATTGGTGCAGTTTTAAGCCTTGCTGAAATTTATTATCCCTAAACTGGAAAAAAAATGAATCAACATAAATCTGGGCTTCTAAATTCCATCAAGTAAAGAGCTGCATTTATAGGCTCTGGAAAAAATTATTAGTTACTGCTGGGGCTACAGCCCCACCCAGCCTAGCTGTTGGCAAATACTTCCGGCTGGATTCTCCCTCTGAAATGATTCCTTTTTCCACATCCAGCAAAATTGACCACAGGCAACAACAACTGCCTGGTGTATTGAAGCCAAAAGTATGTCTGTCTGGACTCAGTGGCATTTAGTCCCAAGTTACTTTGCTGGAGATTGATATTTGACTAGCATCCCCTCAGTTGCATAAGTAAATGAATCACTGCCCCTGCATTTGTTTTCTAGTAAAAGTAAAATAAAAATCACTTTTTATTTTTCCTGCGTGACAATGCAGTCTGTATTGCTTTTCATCATATGAGTAACACGAAGATAGATTTACTTCCTAAAGTATCTGCCCCATTGAAATAAGATCAGCAATCAAATCCAAGGTTTTACTAGGTTGCATTTTTTACATGGAAAATAAGGCCCAATTTAAAAGATTGGCAATGTTTTCTTCCTCATTTTTAAAGATTTCCTTCCTTAACTCATGAGTAGAATTTTAAACTTCATGCCTCCTTGTTTTACTGTTGACATTAATCTGTATATCTGGGGCTTAAAGCACATACAAAGTTGTTCTTCAGACAGAAATATTTGACGTCTTTGTTGTCCTGAGCAAATGATTCTAACTCTTTCTGTTCTTCTAAATTGTTATTTTAAAAATGGTTTGCAATAGTATTTCTATGCATTATCCTTCCTTCTACAAATTCTATGTCTGTTGATGAAACCCAAAGTCTCCATCATATATATCTGAAGTAAAATATCTTGGACATATGCCTGCAATTTAATGTTGCTAATTATGTTAAGAAGATGGTCAGCAACATTGTTTGATTAATTGAACAGTAAATAAAGGCACTACAGGTGTACCCTCCTGAAAGTTTTCCTTCTCCTTATGCCACCTTTCTTCTTATGTTGTGATCCTGGCCATGATGAATTTTTTAAGGGTTGTTTGATTGTTCGCTTGTTAAAAATATCTACTGAGCAGAGTGGGCCTTATTCCTTTTTTTAGCCATCGGAAACACAGTTTCATAGGCCAAAGAAAATTGCTACTATTTAGGGCTATCCAATAAACCAATCAGGATTGAATGACTGGTGGGCTTTCAGGTATACCTGAGTTACAATGCTCAGCATCCCTCAATATTGGATTAATGTATTGATTGGAGTTGCATAGGTTGGCCAAAACAATGTAAGTAAGGGAGGAAGGTTACAGGTATTATAATAATGGTGGTTGAGAGCAAAGCAGTCTGAGAAACGTTTTTAAAAGCTTGGGAACCTCATCTAAACTTTTGATGGGTTACAGACAGTGCCTCTTTTATTTAACTTTGAGAATGAAAATGCTCCAAAAGCTTTCTTCCCATTCCCTTCACCTCCTCTATTACTCATCCCTAGACAAGATCATCCTTAAATTTTTTTTAAAGGCAAAACTGATTGTCTCATAATTAAGGAACACCTACATTGTGTTTACATTAAAATCTTATGGGAAGAATGATATTGAGATATGTGTAGCATCTCTACATTTACATCTTATCTCTCTTTTCCATTCCATATAAAGAAGCCAGCTGATGTAACAATTGCATGCTTCAGTCCCAATGAAGTAATAGGATGGCACTTGAAGGCAGCAGACAGGGGCTGTGGTTAGTCTTGATAACACCCATGATCTTCTGTTGCCAGACATCAAGCAATCTGCCTGATCCTTGCCTCACTACTTGTTTCAGTTCATTTGGTGATTTGTCTTGCACAAGCAAAGCAATGCTTTTTCACCTACTGTATATACTGGAGTCAAACTCTGTGAGAGACGCCTCTTTTCCTGGCAAGGGCTCTCTCTCTCTCCCAGTATGTGGCATATCTAATAAAGCAAGTTAGACAAAATGTAGTCAGGAGACAACAAGCAAATGTGGTATGAAGAACAGCTGCCGGGGTGGGATTGGCCAGGTGAGATCTCAGTCAGAACAGCTGGAAGAAGGCCAATGTCATCCCAGTGTCCCTCACCTCCACTTGGCTCCAGAGGTTGTGGGTGCTCTAACACTGTGGAGATTTTTCAGAACATGAATTGTAGGGTGGTGCATGCTTTCGAAATGATTCAGATGAGTACTTCACAGAAGAATGAGCAGAGCACAGTACCACTGTTGTTTATTCAAGAGGCCCCATAGGTTCTGCAGGAGCCTGAAAAAATGCAGCTGCTTTTGAGTCCTTCAAGTACTCGCAACTTGTTTTTTTCAGAGCCACACGAAAGCCTGAAAAAGTTGAGTTGGTTTGATGAAGAGAGCAATTACAGGATCCAGAGCAGGGGTGGGATTCTACCGATTCTGTCTGGCTCTACAGAACCGGTAGCTCTGAAGAGCAGCAGGCACAGAACCGGTTCTGTGTCTGCTGCTGTTTGGTCCACCCACCCGCCTGGGCTCTTACCTGTCCTTTGTTTCCTGCTTTTTCAACCGCAGCTGCTTTGCGCAGCACAGCTGCAGTTGAAAAAGCAGGAAAAAAGGGCTTTTCCAACTGCTGCGCACCCGCATGCAGCGCTGCTCAGCTATCCAGGCAGGTCATAAATTGCACTCGCGTGATTCGCGCATGCGCGTGTGACACAGAGCAACAGAACTGGTAGTTATACCAGTCGGATCCCATCCCTGGTCCATAGCAATTCTTCTCAATACCTTTGGAAGTGAGAACTGGCCTAATAAGCACCTATATGCCGGCTCAATTTTAGAATAGGATAGAAAGTTCAATATATTTCACTCTTTCTATCAGAAGTCATGCTGGAAATTGTAAATCAATCCAAATGGTTGATTATGGATTTTCAAGGCAAGAAACTTTTTTTAATTGTTTGGAAAGTAGCCAACCACTTGAAACAAAGCAATTAATTAATTAAAGTCATTAAAACGAGAAAACAAGCCATTTTGCAGCTGTTCTTTTGTGTGGTAATTTCCAAATCTAGTTATATGGTACTTAAATGATAAGCAGCTTTCTTTCAGCTCATTCATCGGGCACCAATTCTCATTTCAACCCAAGGAGCTGGTGACTCACACTTTCTTCTCTGATTACCCAGCACCAACATCCAAACAGGTTGCCAGAGAGATTGCAATGGGTGTCTCGCTCTCAGAGTGTTGGAGGGGCATGCTTAGGATTCTTGACATTCTCCTAGCAGTGAGAAATACCAGAGGGAAACTACAATCCAGAGTATACTTGGAATGTATTGATCTGAAGTCAGTGGTACTTCCAAAGAAAACTGCATATGGTTCGGTGATTGGTTGATTCTTTCTAGAATTACATCCAGCATTACACATTTAAGAAACAGAATAAACCACAAAGGTCATTTTCATGGATGAAGAGCAATTTTGTCCCAAAGAATAACGTACACCGTTATCTGTTCTATGTATACTCCAGTGAATTATAAATTTGAAAAGCTACACAGTTTATAGGTATTATCTTTGAAATAGTCAAGATTAGTAGTCCTTCAGAGAATATGTTTGTGGGTGTCTTTTTGTCATAAGGTTATTTAAACAGAACTTTATCCAATCAGTACTAAAGACGTTACCTAGTTGGATAATGAAATGTTTGCAAGAAAACAACCAAGCTTAGACAGCACAAATGATTCCACAGTACTTTATTTAATTTGGCATTCTCTGACAACTTGATATTAAAACTACAGCTCCCAAAATTTCTAGCTTACGGTTCTTCATTGACCAAGAACATGGGGAGTTGTATTTTCAATGCATCTGAAGGACATCGGGTATAGGATTCAAAAGAGACGACAGCAGTCCCTTAATGTCTCCATTTTGGGCCACTTGTTTCATTAGTCACCAAAATAATCTATTACTGTCTATGTGTTGATCCCCTCCAGCATCTCAAACTATCAAACTTGCTGAAGAAACTACAGTACAGTGGAATATGCCAGATGCCCATTTTACAGAATCAATAAACCAAGTCTTGAGTTCCTATTTCTTATGTTGGTATCTGTGCTTTAGTTCGTTCAAAGTGTTTTCATCCCACTCTAAAAAGCCAAAGAGAAGGAAAGAAGGGAGAAAAAAACCAAACATAGGAATTAGCTTATAAAGTTAAATAATAATCATTTTAATAACTAGCTGGATAGAATTAGCTGAGTCATGGAGACAAGACTTGAGTGAGTTTGTCTATCACAGCATAGATAGAATTATTTTATTTCCCATGTTTATCTG